GCCCATGAAGCCCCCCCCCCTCCCCCCCCCTCCTTCAGTCGAGCACGGCCTTCTGTCTCATACTTACACTGCAAGCCCTTTCCGTCAGTCTGCGCCGATGCATTCACCGTAGTGTGACTTAGGTCTCCCCTGAAAAGACTCTGTGACAGTGGCATCGGAATCCTTGTCTCCCATGAATGTATTCCTTCCTCTCTTTTTCCCTGTCTTTCTTCCTCTGGACTTCAGGCTCTTCTTAAGATGACGTTCTTTTTGCCCAACCATCTTTCTCTCCGACTCCTTTCCAATCTGACGTTCCAAAACAGGCAAGAAGACTGCATTTGAAATCCACGCTCAAAATTCTGCCATTTTGCCTTTGTTTTCTTTTTTGTTTTGTTTCAGAGTGCAAATAAAGATAGAATGATGTTGAAATGGCATCTACATATAGATTATGAGAATTCAGATGATGGTTTGTAAAACTAGACTTAATTTAGTCAAGAGGTTTATTGTGTATTAAATTAAGTTTTATTCTAATGTATAGTTTCTTTTTAAAGTGACATTGTAGATTTCTTTATAAAGCATCGGTTAGAAAGAGAAAAATCACTCAGAGTGCATATGAATTGCCGCAGAATAAGAAAAACGTTCAACATACCTATGGATTTTGTTTTCCTTGGTCCAGTAGTTTCAGAAAGAATGTGATTTTTGTGGTTGGTAAAATGAAATGCTGGTAGATTGTAAATACCAATAATGGGAAGGGGGGAATCTGTTTCATATTATATTTATTTTTTTATTTTGTTTTTCAATGTATTTCCCCTTCCTCCCATCAAAGTCCAGTCTTAACTGTTTCTGGAACGGAGTTTCTCACGACGAGCATGTTCGTTTGGCGGGAAGAGGAGGATGTGCTGATTCCTATGGTAGCCTACTAAGGAAGGGGAGCTGGGGTGAGGTGGTCCTTCTTTCCTGGGTGGGGGTCTGGGAGGGTCCTGTGTGTACAGTGTACAGATACTCACTTGCTTCTAAGCCTTTAGCCGGGAGCCCCACCGGAGGAACCCAACACAGCCATAAACTCAACACTGAAGCGTGCTTGCTTTGCTGTGTGGAGTGACGTGCTTCATGCCAGATGCGATCGGTACAAGGTGTGTGTAAGAAAAGACAACAAGCAATAAATTTAAATCCAATGTAACTTGAGATTTTATTTTGTTTTGTTTTGTAATTTTTGTACAGGACTTTTCAGGAGACACATTTTTGCTCCCCGGTTCAAACAAACTCAGTATTAAAGACAGATTTTTTTATTGTGATCTCTATTTTGAGAAAAACAACAACGAGATGTCTAAAACTAGCCTACTTGTTCCTCAGTGAAAAGCAGGTTTAAGTTCTGGTGTAGCCAAAAAATATAAATGAATAAATAAAAAAGCAGCATTTATCATTTAGTTTTGCGTGGCTATCCTATTCCTACATTCACACTTAATTTTCGCCATCTTGAAAAGCCGGATCAACGGTTCAGATTTGGATCACTACAGGCACGTGAACTTAACGCTGTAATGTAGGCTACGCAATACAGTTCGAGTTTTCGGACGTTTTTCGTTGCCTAGTTGAGGACGAAGCCAAATTTCCTTGCCTTTTAATTGATCGGTAGACTTACGCATAAGTTAACACTTTCATTTTGTTTTTGTCTCATGTCTGCACACAGTTTGTATCGGGGTTAGATTGTCGGCCTTTAGCTTTCGCTGAAAATATCGCCATGTCATCTGTGTTTAAGCTGGTGTATTAAAAAACAAGAAAGTAGGCTACTACATGTTTTTATTAAGTATATACTGTGTGTACCAGCAGCAACTGAGGTTTGCGACGACCAGCTCTGTCATTATGCGCTGAAGGTGTCGTGGTTGTGTACGAATATACCTGGTGTTTTGGTATAGCTTTAGCTTTTCCTTTTGAACACTGTAAATACGAATTTGATTTCACATTGTTTGGGTGAATCGTCACTCTGCCCACCATTCAAAACTTTCTGTATCCTTTGAGAATCGCCTGCATTCTCACGTGGGTTAAAAACTCGATTTAGCCTAATAATCGATTCCAGTGCTAGCGTTTTGTCGACTAAATCGAGCACTCATTTATTCCGAGCTTTTTTGATCACAATTTTGATGAATGTTGGATGCCTTGAACAAGGACTGACATCCAGACGCATCTATCATATTGGAGAATAGCCAGTTTTGAGGTCGCACCTGTACCACTACCCTCTGCAAAGTCCAAAGATTGTCAAGATTTTGAAATGAATATAAGCCATGATGTGAAGGTGGTGCAGAGTTTTCTAGTCTTTTTACCAGTGCAAGTGCAAAAAGAGCCATTTGTCCTAAAATAAATCAATCAATCAATCAATGGAATTGTAACGGCTATTGAATTTCCTAAAATTGTCTTTACCTTACCTTTTGGGGTTTTTTTCTGAGACTTTAAATGTCTTTTTGTATAGTCTGCCAATTTCTTAGAGCTAAATGTAACAACCTTGAAATGCTAAAACTTAGCATATTGCCTTAGATCTGTTTTACTGTCTTGTATATTACAAAAGTTGTCTGTATTATATTTGTATAGTGAACCATTGACAGGATCGACCCAGTTCATTACTGCTCCTCTATTGCTGGATACCTACATAGGCCTACTTGTCTCTCTTTCTCTCTTTATTCCCTCACACACCTGCACTCTCGCTCTCAGTCTCAATATTGCTCATTTTCCATGTTTTGTTTGTGATCAGTTGTGGGTTTTATTATTTGTACAGTCTTGATTTTGCCCCAGTTCATTACTGCTCCTCTATTGCTGGATACCTACATAGGCCTACCTGTCTCTCTTTCTCTCTTTATTCCCTCACACACCTGCACTCTCGCTCTCAGTCTCAATATTGCTCATTTTCCATGTTTTGTTTGTGATCAGTTGTGGGTTTTATTATTTGTACAGTCTTGATTTTGCCCCCTCAGTTATGAATGATGCAATGGGAAATCGAAGCAATATGTAATTTATAAGGACTTTTTGGAGAAAGCTTACAGTGTTGCGCTCCTGAGATGTATTCCCCCCCCCCTACCCCCCCCAGTTGTGGTCACAAACATCTCTGTTCATCCGCATCGATGTGTGTAATCTTAGTGTGAGCCTTTTATGCAAAGTTAGATATACCGAGAGAAATTTAAATACAGTTATGCAAGTTGTCAACTATAATATGGCTTTGCTGATGCTATTTGATGTTGAATCAAATTGAATTGTAAATAAAGAATTCTGTTATTGCAACATTTATAATCATCTCACGGCTCATGTTTTCACTTTCCAGAGAAAATGTTATTCGTCTCGTCTGTGTGATGCATAGATCTTTGTAAAAGGTTTTGGATATTTAAAAAGGTGGAAAACCTTGTTATGGGATAGTTAGTACTGAATTAATAATACGGGTTAATGGATGAAACGCCAAATACTAACGCAACAAATCGTGTTTATTCCAATGGAAAATTGGCTAAAATAAATAAAATGTAATACACTTATGCCTTGTTTAATAGAATTCCAGAACACTGAAAATATAGATATTTTGTTGAATTTGTCTCTGCATATTTGTGGTAAGTTGTTTGGTTTCATAATGTTAATTTTTGGTTATACGAAAAAAAAGTAAGCAAAAGTTGCCTTAAACCCACAAAGAATTCTGTCATTTGTAAATATGCATGAATGCGTAGCATATTAGGCCTATTATTTATATTATATGCATTTTATTAGTATAGTAGTATTGCTGGTGCTAATAATGACGGTGACCAATTTTGTTGCTGTAATTTGTGGTAACCTATATTAAGTTTACTTAATATTAAATATGTTTGATATTAGGTTTCGATCATTTATTAGCTAGCCTATATTTAGCTAAAACTAAAACAAAATATGATGTAGCCTATGCGGCTCACAGTAGAACTAGTTAATGAATATAAATCATTCATAACAGTAATAGTTATTGTGCTTATTATTTAGAACAAAAAGGCCTATGTCTTTAGCTCAAAATGTGTAATTGTGCATAAGTTTTAAAATGATTTTTTTCGTAATAAAGCACATCTGGCAGTGAGTAGTAAGTGATAGTGCTGTGATGAAACTCCACGCTCATGCACACAGTTAATTCCCATTATTCAACTAATGCTGCCGATGTCTTTCGTTTTCACAAAGAGCCTCTAAACGGAACCCGTGCCGTTCACACCGTCGCCCGGTTAGGAGCGGTTAACAGTGCGCAGTAGTTAACGCATTAGAGACTGTGCTGCATATGAAAGAGAGCTGTAAGAGGAGGCTACAAAGTGTTAAAGTGCAATTCCCAGAGGATGAACCCAGGACTGACCAATGACAGCACAGATCCGGGAAAGGCATCCCCTCTCTAGTAGCTTTCCTACACTCAACCATATGTCTTCAGACCTGTCTCAAGCTTCACACAC